TTCTCCTGGGATGTATACGGACTTGTCTTGGCCACGTCCCGGTCCTTTAACTAAAAGTCATGCGCTTAAAATCTTAGTGGGTAATTTTACACCGATCTGTTTCAGGCTGTACCCATCCTCGTTGATGCCTTTGCAACCTTGACACTCCATGTATATATGTTGTAAGGCGACAAGTAATGTTACTTATTAAGTTTTAGTAACACATTTTTATGTTATGTATTACAGGCCAAGACAGAGGGACTCCCAGGAAGGCCATTTCTGGCTTATTTGCTGTCCTCAGCTGGGGATAATCAACTCGAGTGTAGCAGCGAAAATCGCTGCTATACTCGACTTTCGAACTTGCGTCTCTCCGGTCAGAGGCTAATGCCCTAGACATTGAGCCACGAGTCCGCTGTCTTGTCGGTTTGTGATCGGGAGCATATATGGTAGTGGGTAATTGTACACCGACCTGTTTCAGGATGTACCCATCCTGTTTGATGCCTTTGCAACCTTGGCACCCCAAACCGACAACACAGCGGACTCGTAGCTCAATGGTTAGGTTGGTTGCCTCTGACCAAAGAGACGCGAGTTCGAAACCCGAGTGTGGCGGCAATTTCCGCTGCTACACTGGAGTTGGGCATCCTCAACTGACGACGGCAAATAAGTTAGAAAAGGCCTTCCTGGGAGTCCCTCTGTCTTGGTCGGCAATACATAGCACTTAAAAATTTCTGAACTTGTTCCCTTAATCATTCTTTGGAGTTGATTTAGCAGAAATCACACAGCGAACGCTGGGAGATCCACTGGCGAGCCGAACTTCTCATTAGAGCATCATGCAATAGCAGAAACGTAAATGAAACATGTCTCTGGGCTTTTAGTTGGTACATATGTCGGGAGTATGGTATAACGTCCTTCTCATATAAGTATATGATAAGGTGACAAAGACAAGGGAGACAAAAATGGCCATCGCTGGCTTATTAGTTCTAATCAGCCAGTCATAGCCGAGCCCCGGCGTGGCGACCCCCAAGGTGCCAAATTGGTTTAGTTGGCTGGCGATCGTGGGATATACTAGGGGCAAAGCCGCAAGTAGTTACGGCAAAGCTACATGTGAAAGATAAGGACCGAATGGAAAATCTGCTGAACAAACTTATCTGCCTTATGATTGAGGTCAGGTTTTGAGTCATTTGACTAGTATGCCGTTCAAATATTGTCGATAACCCGTAACTGCATACTTAATACTTCCGAAAATTTTATTAATCATTGGCATCACTGGGGGAGCTTTATTGGAGGCCTGACATTACGACTAGTTATTTCGCATTCCCATTTTCAGAGACTGTAAAGTCTTTCGTACCGCTCTCAACAGAAGGTGCACATTGCTTTTGCAGACTCCGTCAGCGCCGACTGCGGGGGTGCATCAAATCCACCTTTTACAGTGATCTATTCGCCCCCATCATCGCTTGCGCCGATTTTTCTGTGCCATGACTGTCGCCCACCAATTTGTTGGTTAGTGGAACAGTCAATGGACATCTAAGCTCCTTACACCTGTATCGCTTCGGTCCACAAGCTGGACGGCGTCAACATATAACACGTGCGTATTTGTGCGTCATGAGTTGCTTCCTTCAACAATGGGTCTACGGGCTTGGCTTGGCAAAACACCGGCAAATTCTGCTGTCAACAAACCCCATCTTTAAGCTAGAGATTTCATCCTTTGGCTGCCAACTTCAGTGCAGTTGCCGAATGTGCAAATACAATCGCAAAAATGACCAAGGGTTACAACGGACCACATTTTCAACTATGACGCCATTGAGATTATGGGCCGAGGCTACGATCATACAGCCAGGTAGGTGCAAGAAGCCTGGATGTGCACCAACTTGCTTGTCAACTGCCACACTAAGTTGCCTCTCCCCTTTTTGGTTTCACAAACCTTCTTG